TAAATCTCTCTAAAATTTTATTGATATATGCTTTCTGAGACAACCCTAACAATCCTTGTGACCTATCACGGAATATTTCAATTCCAATCACATAGGTTGCCTCTCCCATTTCTTTCATTTCAAAATTTTTAGAGAGAAATTTCTTAGTCTCGTGTAATAGACCAAGATCATTAGTAGCTAGCAAGATATCATCAACATACAGAATCAAAATATATAAACTTGCTCCCACTGACCTTTAGATATATACATCGGTCAACGATGTTTTCCTTAAATCCAAAAGAAATAATGATATTGTTGAACTTAAGATAAAATTGACGGGAAGCCTGTTTAAGTCCGTATATTGATTTCCTTAATTTACACACCATGTGTTCCTTTCCTTTAACTGAAAAACCTTCAGGCTGATCCATATAAACTTCTTCATCTAAATTTCCATTTAGAAAGGCGGTTTTCACATCCATTTGATGTAGCTCTAAGTCATAATGAGCTACTAAAGCCATTATAATTCTGAGTGAGTCTTTCTTGGAGACTGGCGAAAATGTCTCCTTATAATCAATGCCACTTTTCTGAGTAAAACCTTTGGCAACTAGTCTAGCTTTATATCATTCGATATTACCATTAGAGTCGCGCTTGGTCTTAAAGACCCATTTACACCCAACTCTTTTACATGATTCTGGTAATTCGACGAGATCCCAGACTTCATTATTCTCCATAGATTTTAACTCATCTTTCATAGCATCTAACCACTTATCAAAATTGGCGCTCTCAATGGCATGTGAAAATGAAACTGGATCATCATCAACAATTCCCAAGTCAAATTCAGACTCTTGTAGGTAAACCACATAATCATCAGAAATAGCAGGTCTACGTTGTCTTTGTGACATTCTTAATGCTATTTCTTGTGGTTCATTTAATGCAGGCTCATTAGTAGCAACTTCATTGTGGGGTGTTTGTTCATTTATTTGTTGTTCAGGTAAATTGTTATGCCGTCCAACAATTTGAGGAACAACAACATTAGAAGAAGTTGAGGGTAGAGAAACTTGAACTCTAACTTCTTGTATTTCCACATTTCGTGGTTCCAAACTCCCACTAACTTCGTCATTCTCAATGAACCTAGCATTTCCAGTTTCAACAATTTTAGTTCTATGATTAGGACAATAAAATCTATACCCCTTTGATTTTTCTGGATAACCAATGAAAAATCCACTGATTGTTCTTGAGTCCAGCTTCTTTTCATGTGGATTATAAATTCTTGCTTCTGCCGGGCAACCCCAAACATGCAGGTGCCTTAAACTGGGTTTCCTTCCCGTCCACAGTTCAAAAGGAGTCTTTGGAACTGCCTTACTAGGAACCCTGTTTTGTAGATACATGGCAGTCTTTAATGCAAACATCCACAAGGAAATAGGTAAAGATGAATTGCTCAACATACACCTAACCATTTCTATTAGAGTACGATTACGCCTTTCAGCCACACCATTTTGTTGTGGTGTGCCTGGCATAGTGTATTGAGAACATGTGCCATGTCTTTCAAGAAATTTAGCAAATGGACCAGGGTGTTGTCCAGTTTCATCATATTTTCCATAATATTCACCACCTTTATCAGATCTAATAATTTTCACCTTTCTGTCTAATTGCCGTTCAACTTCATTGACAAAGATCTCCAAAGCATTTACAGCTTGAGACTTTTCATGCAGTAAATAAACATAGCCATAACGTGAAAAATTATCAATAAAGGTGATAAAATACTTTTCTCCACCAAATGATGAAACATCAAAAGGCCCACATATATCGGTGTGTATTATCTCAAGAAGCTGTGTGCTTCTTGTGGCTCCTTTCTTTGTGTGTTTGGATTGTTTACCCTTAATACAATCCACACAAATTCCAAGATCACTAAAATCCAAGTCATGAAGAATTTCATTCTTTACTAATCTTTCCATCCTTTCCTTGGATATGTGACCCAAACGTTTATGCTACAAGCTAGCAGACCGTTCATTCAGTAAACCACGTTTAGTACCAACATTATGATGCAAGGTTAAATGAGTCTCAGCAAAAAGATTATCAAGCTTTAATTTGTATAAGCCATCACAAAGAATAGCGGAACCAATAAGATGATTTTGCTTAAACAAATTCAAACATCCATTTCCACCATTACAGAAATATCCAGCGGAATCAAGTTTTGATAAAGAAACTAAATTGCGAGAAATGGAAGGTACATAAAGTGTTTGAAATAAATCTAAATGATGTCCAGTATCTAAAATCAAACGATAGGTTCCAATGGCTTCAACTGGAGCTTTGACTCGATTTTCCATGAGGATAAACTTTTTATTTGGATTTATGATCTGGATTGAAAGGAATCTTTGCATTGTATGTATGGTCTGGGTTAAAAGGAATCCCTCCATCGTATTAGTAATATGAGTGGTACATCCAGAATCAATCCACCAAGTATTATAAGGAACTTCTGCCAAATTAGATTCGAAACATACGTAAGAAATAATCTTAACTTTACTTTCGAACCATGCCTTACGTTTCAGGCAGTCCTTTTTTTGGTGCTCAGGTTTGCGACAGAAATGGCACACATCTTTCTTGTGTTCCTTATTGTGGATTTGGGCAGAAGACTCATTTATCTTTAGTGGTCCTTGCTTAATGCCCTTTCCAGACCTTTTCTTATATTTCTTTCCAGCTCCTTGACGACTTACAAGATGAATAGAATGAGTTCCTTGATT